ATGTTAAGATGATGGTAAAAATTTTATATGTTATAATTCAAAATTGTTTTCGAAAAATTTGCGAATTTTATTTGGAATGAACCTAAATTTAGAATTGTGGAAAAAAGAATCAAGTAAGTTTAATAAAAAAAGATATATTAAATATATATCGTATTCAATAAACACTGAGGAGCTAAAATTTTGAAAGCTAATTTTTTAAAAACTAGTCATGCAATTTTTACAAAATTAGGCAGTTTGGCATATAATTTGAGTCATAGAAACGAAAGATGGAAAAACATTGGCATGTCATTTCAGAAGTCTGATTTTGTGTCAAATTACCTATATTAGAACAATGCTATAGGTAAATGTAATACATATCCTAAGTTGAGCTTTCGAGACATGAAAAACGCAAGTTGAATTTCGTCAATCGGCCCAGTAAAAAATGAGATATAGAACTGTTCCCCCCTTTTTACACAGTGTACTTGCCAATGTAATAGAAAATATCATCTCCTTTGGCTGCAATAACAGCAGTTACTTTATTAGTATCATGATCCATTTGTTACTTCTGAAATATGTCTCTATTCTTGCTGAAGAGCAGCAGTTTTTTTTTTCTGTCAATGAATTTGACCATTGTAACCTGCCTTGTTAATAAATTTCAATTCACATCGCATTTGTTCTGTAGGATTTAAATCAGAGTTTTGAGCTGAGCAGTCCACTTGCTCATCATCCATATAAGAAAAACTTCATATTTAGAACATGTATATGAGTAGGAGCCTTATAGTGAAAGAAGGGAAGCATGCAGAGCATGTAGTTGCTAAGGCACAGCATAGATTACCTATCCTTAAACACTTAACAGGTGTTTAAATGGGTTGTGGTAGAGAGACTCTCAACTCAATGTATAAAATGTATATTCGACCAATACTAAATTATTGCTGTGAGATATTGATCTCGGCTACACGAGATGTGATACAACGTCAGGAGGTATTCCAAAATCAGGCACTGCACATTATAACCGGAGCTGCTAAAATGACTTCCATTCTGGCAAATGCATTTGGTATCGGCAAACCAACCAATGACAAACCTGATTCAGAAAAATGCTCCCATTCTTTTCCGGAGACTTATTCGACTACCAAGTAACCCTAATTGGAGAAATTATGATTATAATATAAACAACGAAATCTGAATACTTGAAATAGCTTTCTGCAGTGTGTCTCTCGCCTAGAACAATACAATCTTATAAGAACACTGAAGCAGGCACTGCTGTTTTTGCTAAATCCTGTGGATTATAGCTTCTTTGATGTGCAGTTGGACCTGGAAATGAAAGTAGATAAGAAGGAAATGAGTCCAGAGCAAATAAGAGCTAGCTTTGTAAACAATTGAGCAGTGTTTTCCAGCTAAGGAATGGATGCCTGTATATATACATGGATGGCTCTTTGACCTATAGTATCTAGGGGTCTGGATCTGGAGTTTTTAGCAAGCTTTTCAGTTTCTACATACCAGTAGGGGCTCACTCCACACACTTTGATGGAGAACTGAAAGCCATTCATGTGGCTGTCCAACAATTATCATCGAGACAGCTCATTCAGGAGAGCTGTGGTACTGTCTGATTCGACTTCAACAATACAGGCCATCTCCTCTTACCAAGAGGTAAGAACATATGCGTTCAACAGTGTCAGGAAGCCATAAAAGAACTTTCCTACAAGATATCTTTTCAATGGGTACCTTCACTCTGTGTTATTTATGGGAATGAGATGGCTGATATGTAGCGAAAAAAGGGGCTACAGTTCTCCAAAAGCCAAAAACAAGTGCAAGCCTCCATTCTGTTAAGCTTCTGACATCGCTAACATATCAAAAGACTTTTAGAGATTTTGCTACTTGGGCTTGTGATGACAAGCCTTGGAGTGTTCTTCCAACAAACCCAGGTTTTGTTCCTGACCACTCGCGAACAGCTGCGGTTTCATCTTTTAGGCTTTTGACGGGGCATGACTGTCTACAGAATCATTTATTTCGTACTGAACAAGCTGATTCGCCATTGTGTGTTTTATGTAATAATGGACAACCAATAACGGTGGAACATTTGGACAAGTTTGAAGCACTGAACAAATTTTTCTAGTAGATTTCAGCGCTATTGGCAAGCAAAAAGCAGGGCTGCACATGTTACACAGGATGGATTACTCTGAATTATCTGAAGTAATAAATGCATCTACGGAGTTGCCAACTCTCCTGATTTTCGACCGTTCTCCCGCCAACCCGATTTACGATATATTTCTCCTGACTTTTTCTTATTCTTAAAATTTCTCATGATTTTTATGGAACTTGGCTGAATACTTTGTTATATGAACAAAAAACAAAAGTCATTTTGGACGTCTGAAAGCAATTGAATTTTCTCTAGATTATATCTAAAACAAAACCTTGTGAATTAGATAACTTCTGCTTTGGGAGTGAGAGCATATACGTATCCAGAAACATCGTTCTCCAATGGGCATGCGCTCCGCTGCGTGCCATCTGGCATATATTAGTCATTCAAGACAAAGCAAGCTGTTATTTGGATGTTCTTTAGTTATTTCGGTCATTTTGTTCTGAGTTGTGTGAGTACACGTGCCTTCGAAAATAGTTTTAGAAATTATCATTTTTTGTTATGTCTGCGAGAAAGGTGAAATACTCGTGTACGTTTCAAAAATCGTACACAGTTGATTTTCCTTCCGTTATTTCTTCAAAGAAATGTAATAAATTTGCGATGTGTACTGCCTGTCGTTGCGATTTTTCGATTTCGCACAGTGGAAGGGCGGATGTTCTCGAACATGTGCGTTCACAAAAACACAAGAACAACATGAGTTGTTTTGAAAAAAAAATGAAAAATTAAATTTTTCTTCGGAAACAAAGGACCAAAAGTTATTAATGCAGAATGTCTGTTCTGTGCCTTTTTACTGGAGCACAACCTGCCACTGTGCCACAGCTGAAAAAGGGGCTGCAGCTTCTTTACCAATAAATGTGGATGAACACATTGTTGATATTTATGATTATCTTGAAAGGAGTTCTAAAATGAAGGAAAAATTGAAACAGTTCCAACAGTTGCATAACAGCAGTTTGCAAGTAGAAAACTTGGTTGAAGTTATAAAATCAGCTAGGATTTGACACCCAGTGGAGTTTAATTGAAAACTGAAAAATGCTGATGGAATTTTAAAATATAGTGAACTGTCTAGAATTATGTTGGCCATCTTGACAATTGTTCCCCATAGTAATGCAGAGTGTGAGAGGATTTTCAGTGTTGCGAAAATGAAGACTAAATTTAGATCTAATATTAGTGATGACACGTTAGAAAAACTTTTATTAGCGAAAGCAGTCCTACGTGGCAATTGCTATGAACAAAATTGTGAAGTTTCTTTCTTAAAGAAAGCAAAATCTGCCACTGTTTATAACATAGGTACAAAAACTGATTAAAATGTTTTTTTCTTTTTTTTCTTAAATGGTGCAAGTAATAAAAATGTTTTTTATGTGTAAGGAATTTTTGTGTTGCTTGCATTTAAGAATTAGTTACTATTTAACGTTAATTCATTATTAGAAACTATACTTTCAAAGTATTTTTTAACATTGTGAAAAATATCCCGATTTCTTAAAAAAATCTCCTGATTTTTGAGTGTCATAGGTTGGCAAGTATGCACCTACATTCAAATTTCCCTTCACAGGGACCAGGGACCAAACCATGAGAAATGGGATCATACCATAATGCTTCATGTACCAAATTTGACTTGACTGAAAAACAATATATTCCGATAAATGCTATTAATCTAGCATTCTCCATATTAAAATGAGTAGTGGATACTTAGCAACATATCAGTCTTGCTCCAGGCTCTAGTTGCATGATTTTCTTTATATTAAAAAGATACTCTTAGCTATGGCTCTTCTCTGTAGTACAGATTGTTAGTTGTAGATCCAAACTTAAGTGGTTAATGTGACTTTAATTAAGCAGGTATAATTCCTCAGCTTTGCAACAGTATCATTCGTAGTTCAATGTGTGGTACTTTCCACAGTGGAAACAACTGATCACATCTTCTGTTTCAGACTCACTGAATTAATATTTCCTACCAAATCCACATTTTAAATTTGTTATATTATCTCTTACCCTCTGTTTTCCTTTCTATCCATTTCGGTTACATTGTTATGTAGGTAAGTAAATCTATTTTCCCAGAGTTCTTCAGATACCTTTGATCACATAGTATATATGTAAAGAGTGAAATACTCTTCATATTATTCCCACAATTTTTTTAGTTACTTTGAGATTTCAGAATTTGTTTGCTGAAAAGTATTAAAGTTTCTCTCTTTTTTTCATCAGTTCTGGTGTTGATTCGTAATAGATGATATATGCTAAAAATGAAGGCATTAGCACTTTCCTTATTACGCTAAGAAACTTCTCAAATAAGAACATTTTTTTTTCCAGTTACATATCTGGTTATTCCTCTTTCCCCTTCAATCTAAAATTAGTTTCTTCTTTTTACTTCTTTCTCTCATCTTGGCATACATTTTGTTGTTTGAAATATGCTTGTAACTCACTTCTCTTAATCCATCATGAACAATTAATCCATCATTTATTAATGCATCATGAACATTGAACATACAACTGTTGGAGTAAGTATTCAGTAAATAAATTTGAAGTGAATAATCCCTATTATATATTTAACTTTATAATTTGTTATGAATTTTTAAATACTTTAAATTTATATTTTTGACTCTTATTTCAAGTGCATTTTTTGTAGCACTCTTTCTGCCCATTCTAATTATGATTCTGTAGGAAAAATTGTATCTAAACATAAATTTAGTCAGTTCGTTCAAAGAATTTCTGTTTGTTATTAGTCATCCTTAAATCTTGTCTCTGATCAGTTATTATTTTCTTAAGAGATTTTTACTTAAAGATATTATTTTTAGTACCTTATGCATAATGCTTTTATGTTATATGTAGCTTCTTCTCTCCTCCTCTTTTTTGAGTTGTATTAGTCTTATTTTGGAATGTTCATATTTTACAGGGCACGTGGAAATGTGAATTATGCAGCTTAGATTTCACTTCTCATATACCTTTGGAAATGCATCTTCGAGGAGCAAAGCATGCAAAAAAATTGAAAGCACAAAATGCTTTGCAAGCTATTAAAACCCAAGGTATTATTCATTACAAATATGAAGGGTGTCCTAAAAGTCTGATCTTGCAGGAGAAGCATAAAAAAGAGCTCTTTCCTTGTTTTATTATTTATATTGCTATGTATGGTAAACCTTATTCACTAGATATTTACTTATTTCCAAACACATAGAAGCTTTGGTTATGATGTTATTGTGTATAATGTATGTGCTAATTGTGAAGCTAAGAAATAACAAATAATTTTTTTAAAAATTCTTTTAAAGTCAAACTTTTATGACACTCTGTGTAGAATGGCTTATTTTTTAAAAAAATTAATCACAAGTACTACAATTTTTGCTTTTTTTAAATCCTGACTATATACAGTTTGTCTATCATAAGAAAAGCTCTTGCCAGTTAGTCTGCAGCTGTCTGCTGCCGTAGAAATGAACTTTGACCCATTTTTTGTAGGCGTGTCTAAAGACAAATGATAACTCTTTTCCGCTCAGCCAACAGTTGCCAAAAGGAAAATAACAGTAAAGCAACCCTTGGGTCGCCCCTATTTGAAATATGCTAGCGTTGTTGCTATAGCGACCGTCTGACGGGAGCTGTTCTTCTCGTAGACAGACAGTACCAGTGTAGTAATAGGGGAAAAATATAATTAACCAGAATGTAATAAAAAGCAAATAAAAATATGGTATTAATTGAATAAAAATTTAGTTTATAAATTCATATTTTGAAATTTCTCCTTAATTTTATAAAGAAATAAGAAGTAATAGATTCATTTTTATACTTAGTGTAAGGATCATTGAATCTTTTTGATAAAATTTATTCATGAAAGCTGCTTTGTGTGATTTCATGAATTCTGATTTGCACCATATTCAATAATATTAATACACCATGTCTACAAAGTTTCTTACCCAGCCCTTATTTTCTTGACAATTGGTTGAAAAGATTTATTTCCAATTAAAAAATGTTTTAAATGATGCATATATTTGTGTATGAGATTTTAAAATTAATTAAAAAGTCTACTTTGTAAAAGTTACAAAATCTAAATTTTCATACATTCCTTCAGTCCGGATACTAATATTTAGAAACATTTTATGTCATTATAAAAAAGAAAATGAAAAAAGTATGACTCTTACATGACAAAAGTTCACCAAGGTATTTCATTTTAAAGATATTCATTCCAGATATTCAAGAGCCATGATTAATCAAAAGTGAAATGTTTGTACACATTTAAAAAATAAAATATCTCTTTAAGAACAGTTTTCTGATTTTAACAGATTAAGTAGCAAGCATTGCTTTGCAGACTGTTATGGAAAGTATTGATCACTGCACGTTTTTCAAAAGAGAGATCTTATTCACAGAATCTTGTAGAATTTGTGTTCCAAAAATCTCAGCGGACTTTAGTATCAGTATCTACCCAAATATGTTGAATTTTTTGTATGGTTATTAAATTATGATTCCAAGGTAATAAAGGATTATTATACTAATAACATATTTTTGCATTTGAAAACTTATAAATAACTCATGTTAAAACTTGTTTGGCATACCAGTTATAACAAAGTTATAAATTAAAGAATATTACGTATTAGTCACAAAAAAAGTATCATTGAATGGCATTTAAGGAGGGAAATGAACCCTCAAATTATTCTAATTTGTTAATTTAACCTCTCATGGCAAGTTGAAAATGAAGTCATATATCCAAAGTCATATATCCAAAATATATCCAAGTATTGAAATTAAATATCTCGGGCAATTTTTATCATGTGAGAGTCAAACTTTTCTGTTTTTTACTATTTTAATGAGTATAAAATTTTCCTAAAAAGAAGTATAAGGATCAGATAATCATTTTCAAAATTACATTTTGTAATTTTTATAAATTTTATTTAAAAAATACTAGCAAAAATGAATATTTGTATCATTTAAAAGATTTTTGTAATTCGAAGTGTATATCTACAATCAGTGGTTCTGAAAATATAAAGGCTGGGTAATGAGTTTTGTGATCATGGTATGTATTATAACCATTGTTGTAATAAATCATATGTTTAAGATCCTTTTGTGCATTTTACCATATAAGAATTTTTTGTTTTTGAGAAAATTCTCTCTCTCTTTTTTAAATCTTGTGTTTTTTAAATAGGTTTCACCAGAATATTTATATTCACTGATATATTTCATGAAGGAGTAGGATTTACCATTAATTTCTATACTGTATCAATACTGTTCTATACTGTATCAATACTGTTCTATACTGTATCAAAGCCAATTTACATCTTTCAGTATTGTGCAATTAAGCAGTATATTAAAATATATTAGTAAAGTAATATTTAAACTACGAGGGGTGATCCAAAAAAACGTTTACAAGGCAAATGAGAAAGTATTTATTAACAATAGAAACAAGTTACAAATGGGAATCAAGAGACACATCTGGCCTTCACTTTTCCACATAGTCGCCAAACCTGTTTAGGCATTTGTCAAAACGTTCGACCAACTTGTTTATCCCGTCTTGGTAGTAATCAAAGGCTCTGCTCATTGAGCCATTTCTCGGCAGCTGTTTTCACTGCATCGTCTGAGGTGAACCGTGTTCCGGATAAGTATCGCTTCAATGCCGGAAAAATGAAATAGTCATTTGTAGCCAAATTGGGGCTGTATGGGGGGTGATTCCAGACCTCCCACTTGAACCTTTGCAGCAATTCCTGAGTCTGGCGAGCTGTATGGGGCCTGGCATTGTCATGCAGAAGAATGACGCCTTTGCTCAGTCATCCAGGCCGTTTGCGTTGGATGGCTTTACGCAATTCGTTAAGGTGGCACAATAACGATCGGCCTTAATGGTATGGTCACGCTCCAAATACTCGATTACGCAGGACAACACCAGTCGTATCCCAGAAAACGGTTGCCATCACTTTACCGGCAGAGGGTGCGACCTTAAACTTCTTCCTCGTCCGTGATCCAGCGCATTTCCACTCCATCGTGGCTCTTTTGGATGTGGCGGTGAAATGATGAAGCCATGTTTCATCACCGGTAACGATGCGATCAATGAAGTGTTGGCCATCTGAATGGTATCGCTGAAGAAATGTGAGGCTGCACATCATTCAAGTGGCCTTATGCTCCGCGGACAACGCACATGAAACCCAGCGGGCACAAACTTTGGAATATCGCAACTCATCGGTTACGATACGCTGAACGCTACCATAACTCAGGTCCAACTCTGAGACAATCACACGCACAGTTACTCGTCAATCCCTTTGGATGATTTCTTCAACACATGCCGTGTTGATATCCGTCCTTGAAGAACTTGGACGGCTGCTCGCTTCCATATTGCGGTTTTCCACATGCTCCCTGCCCGCTTGATAAGAATGACACCAATTCTCTACCTGTTGTCTACTCATTGCTTTGCCCCCGTATACCTCAACGATTCGTCTGTGAATTTCGGATGCGACCACATTCTTGGCCCATAAGAATCGAATTATGGCTTGCACCTCTATGCGAGACCACTTTTCTAGACATCATGCCATTACTGTCGCTCGTAAGTGTCTGCATACTGCTGCTACTTACTCGTAGAACAACTGTAGGACAGCTAGCGCCATCTATCAACCACCCTGGATGGAAATATTCGCTCCACAATTATTACGTTTCAAATGCTTCTGCTTGTAAACTTTTCTTTGGATTAACCTATGTATAATGGTGAGTCTAAGAGCAAATTAGGATAAATGAGCTTAAAAAAGTAATTAAAATTAGATAAAATGCAGAACAGATTTTTTTTCATTACATGTCAAAGGGCTAAAATAATTTTAACAAATATTTAATTTGCAATTTTCATGTTACTCAGACTTCAGTTATTAAATTATTTATACTTTGTTGTAAATTTATTTTTGATTTTCTATTTATGTATCTTTTATTCATTATCTTCCTAGTTTCAGAAGGTCAAGACATAAATACACAAGGGAAATCATTTCGTTGTGAATTATGCAATGTTAATGCAAATAGTTCTTTGCAATTGCAGACTCATTTGGAAGGTAAGGCATGTTTTATTGGTACATCAATTACTAGATTAATTTGCTGGATAATGTTTTGTGCATTTTGTTTAAGTTGCATTAAATATCCCCTTCCTTAAATCGATGTCTAGATGCAAGATTCTATACTTTTATGTAAGATAGTCTATAATATATTTAGAAACTGATTTAAATGTACATTTTCTCTGAATTCTAGATCACAGCAAAAATTTTGTTCTCAGTAGTTTGCTTGTACTTATGCAGAGATTGTGATTCCTTATCAGAATCTCTGTATAATTCTTCTCCTTTTTAAGAGCATAGCCTATTATAACCTGACTACTTTTATTTCGGGGGGGGGGAACTGTTACTATGCTATATTGTTAGTCTTCTCTGAACAGAAATGTCACTGTTTATTCAGTAATAAAGTTTTCTTCCACTTTGTGGGCATTATTTTGTTCTGTAAACAAGTATTTTGCTGTTCAGTTAATAACTGAAAGATCTTCACGTTATAAGGTAATGTTTTGGAAAGTAAAATCAAGTCAAATTATAAGCTGTTGCCTGTTCATGAAACAGCAGATATTTAATTTATTTTCCAAATTATAAAAAATGCATTGCCTGCCAATATGCAGTAAAAGTTCAATAGTGTTGTATCCAGTGGTTTGATATAACTAATAATCCAATACCCCTTTGTCGAACACTCCTACTATAAGGTGGTTATTACAGTAGAAACTCTATTAGCCAGGTCTCGGGTAACCCAACTAACAATCAGTGTAAAGAAATAATTGGGAAAACGTAGAAATATTTAAATGAGTATAGTAAAAACCAGAGCTTTTGAAGATTTTATCAGTGATAGAGTTTTCGGCCTTTTTTTTATCGTAATGGGTGCACAGACTTCCTACTGTGCATTACAGCAAAAATATGTTTACATGAGTTAAAAATAAAAGCTGTGCTAACTGCCAGTTAAATCTTAGACTTGTTGCAAAAAGATAAAAGAATGGATAAATGTAGAAAGCAGCGGAAAAAATATTGAAGTTTTGAGAAAGGAAGAAATCATTTACAACATAGATCTGGAGAACAATAAAAATTGCAATGATAAGGACGAAATGAAAAATGTGAAAATTAGCCATGCCAAAATCTTGATTTTGAATGTTTCTGTGCGTAAAGAGAAGGATGCTTTTGTAGACTGGAATTGAATCTAGGTTGCACTACTAATATTTAATGATTTTAGTGCTTGGCCATTAATAGACACTATGAAACTTTTGAGTAAATATTTTTAATATTTAAAGCTATGTCTTAATACTTCTGTTATGGATTTTTGTTGATTAAAAACTGGCATGATTGCATGGTATCTGATGAATTAAAAAACTGTCACTAAAAAAAGTCAACCTCTTTTTAAAAACATTTCTGATGAAAATGCATGTAAGAAACTTGACAAAATTTCATAGTTTAAGTAAATTTTCATGGAACTTGTTATTCAGTTTTTTATGAATATTTTTGTTATAAGATAAAATGTGGAGATTTGCTTCCTACTTGGAGAATACAGGGAATATTGGGGGGGGGTGAAAGTATTACATTGGAGAAATATGAAGAAATGTTGTGTAATGCAAGGAAAATTTTTATCTAATAATAAAGAAATTTGGGTAATCATACAGTATGCAATCTACCATTTTTAGTTAGTATTTCTTTTGTAGAGGTCAGCATTACCATTTCTTGTTGTTTTTAATTATATCTTTTTCGTGCCATTTTATCACATGTTTGAATTTAAAAATACTGTTTTAGTGATGTGTCATCTAAGAAATAATTAACTAAAAGTGGCAGATCGCATACTATATTATTACCAAAATTGTTAAAATATGAGTAGTTTTATCTTTACACTTATTTTTAAAATCGTAAAAAAAAAAAAAAAAAAAAGTTTCAAGTAACCTTGTTTGGGGGGAGGAAGTGGCGTAATTTAAAATTTAATTTCTGTTAACTTTTTAATGGCCTTCAACAAGCTCAGCTCGCATTACAAATTCACGACTGACGGAAATCATGCATATTTGGGAAGAAAGAATTAATCTTGCATTCTTCAAAGTGTTAACTGAGTTCTTGATCATCTGAGCTAACATTTCCAGTTACCTGGAGTAATTAAGGTTCTACTGTACTACCATCTTGAAAAGATTAGTTATTGCTTCGTGTGTTTATGCTTTTTTCATTTAGTCATCTTTTGAAACTGTGTATTTATTAATTGCTTGCTTTCTTTCTTTATTTAGAATGTTTTCAAACTTGATAAAAATATTGATAAAGGAATAAAAATGGAAATGTGAAATTAACACCTCAATAGAAGTTGTATAATATTGTTATAAATTTCTGTTAATATTTGAATGCATTTGATTGTATTATTTTTTATGTATTGTTATAGCTTTTGTATTATTTAAATTTACTTGTTTGTTGCATTTTAGGGTTTATTTGTGCATAATTGAATTTATAGCTGTGTATTTTATATATAAGCAAAAGTTTCTGTAGTAGAATTGTAGATCTGGTAATCCTGAATCGAACTGTTTGATGACTTTTGACAATTTTTTGTTGGTATTGTAGATTTTTTTGATTCTGAATCGACCAGTTTGATGACATTTAACAATTTTTTGCTAAATTTGCAACTTTTTGAAAATTTCAGGAAAATTCATTTTTGAAGCTTTTGGAGCAAGCTTCTCCTAAGCTTCGAAAAGGATTGAGTAGCATCATATAAGTATGGTTCCAACAACCTGCAGTTTTTTAATCAGTTCTGAATTAGTTCAGTATGTGGTTCCAAGATTTAAATTAAGTTTTAGAGTTTACTTTGTGAGTGTGTTGATACTTGATATTTCTTGTGATTTAAGCAAGATTTGCCTAATCTGCATTTTCTTTGAGTTATTTACTGTTTATTTTTATTGTGTAGCTTTGTTTAAGATTAATTGTTAGTTCCTTCTTGCTCATCTGGAGTAGTTATTTGATCTCCACAAACCCATAGATCCAACTGCGAGTTATTCAGAACTTCAAGTGTTAATATATGAATTAGTTTTTGCAAAAGTTATTAAACTGTGATTGCAGTATCAGAAACCATAAAGATTAATTCAGTATAAAAGGTGCAATTCTAACTATCTCGATTACTCGAAAACATGTAAACAACACAGTGTTATAAAATGCTTGGCAAAAACTGTAGCTAAATGACGTATAGCAAAATTATGCCGAAGGTTGATTCAGTAATCAATTACTCAGAATTGCTGAAAATAGTTGAAATCCTTTCTTGAAACAGTCCATTAATCACACTTTCTGAAAAGAAAATAATGTAATGAAACAAAATTATAAAAATGCATGAATTTTTGAAGTATGTTGTTTACAGATGCCGAGCTTCTGGTTAGTATACCACTACCTATATTGTAGAAGAATGAATTAATATCATAGTTAAGAGTGCATTGAAATAATATGTAGCAACATATTACTAGTGATCAAGAGTCATCAGCGATCATCTAGCAGCTCCACCATTGGCTGATTGCTTAAGATTTTTTAATACTGGGAATTCAGCCTTTTCTGAGTTAGAACAGCCTGCTTGCACAGTTGATTTTCATTATTTTCTTCATGTGTAATGTGAATACATGCCAGTTTTCCTCAGAATATCCTCCAAGACAGCATTCTATTAGGTTAGGTAGAAATATATATATTAAAAAAAAAAAAAAAATTTAGTAACCAATAAATTTTAATAATGAAATGCATTTGCAAGTAAATTTTATTCACTAAATGTAATTCACATTAGGTAATATGAAAAAAAAGTCACAATGCCTCATTTTGTTCCAGCATTCCAGTATATTTGATAATCTGGCTTTATTGAATTACTGAACATGCCAGATTATTCGACATTTCCTGTATTAAGTGGATAGTTTAAAATCAATCTGTATGTAGTTATATTTGGTAACAAATATTTGTACTATTGTTAGTGAAAAATGGGGTTCTGATTTTTATGTTCCTATTCTGAACATTTCTCATTCTCACTTTTAATCTGTGCAGATACAACTTGGTTCCTCCTAGTAAGCATTCTCACCCCTCCTTTTTTCTTCAGTTATATATTGTGCATTGTATTTATTTTTGAATTATAATATTATAGGACTAAAAATAGGGATCATACTTTAAATGAAAATAGTTAATGCTTTGGATCTATATTAATAAATTCTTTTGAAACTTCTAAATTATTTATTACTTTAGGAACTAAACATAAGTCCAAAGTGCAACAATTACAGCAGCCAAAAGAAGTTAAAACAGCAGGATCAGAGGAATCCAAACCTGAAGGAGAAGCAGCTGCACCGCTTCCAACAACTACACAAGTGAATGGCAAGAGTGAGTCGTAGCATTCTTTTAATGTGAACTTATTTAAATTCTCAGAAATTTCATTTTTATTTTGTACTGTTTGAAGTAAAATATGCTTTTTTTTATGCTCTCCATATTAATACCACATAAGAATTACTTTAAAAGAAGTTATTTTTAAGAAGTGATGCTTTGTGGCAGGGTTTATGATTTTATTATCATTTTAAAAATTTTAAATGATTTTATGAATACAGTTTTAAGTAGAAACAACAACACTGATTGATTAAAATTTATAACAGTTTTAAAAAATATGAAATTTCCTTTTATAATTTAGAAATAACACACTTTTTTTGGATGAGAATTTAATGATATATTTTATTTCTTGTCTTTCCCTTTAAAATAAAAGCAGTAACTGTTTTATCTAGTATAAGTATTTATTTCTATTTAAATGTAGTACCAAGTAGATATGAAGAAGTAATTTTATTTCTTGTCTATCCCTTTTAAAATAAAAGCAGTAACTTGTTTTATCTAGTCTGAGTATTTATTTCTATTTAAATGTAGTACCAAATAGATATGAAGAAGTAAAGAAGTAATTAAGATATTGTGTCAATTTTTAAGGAGGATGAATATAATAACACTGGTTTCTGGATATATAACCCTTGTTTAAGGAGGATATATAACCTTGGATAAACCTGGTTATCATTTTGCTAAGAATTACCAAAGTATGGTCCCATTATTATACAGTGTTGTACATTTCAAAACAAAATACACTGATGAGATTAGTTCTGTAAAAGATTTCAGCGTAATTATGGGAGGGGAAAAAACCCCGAGTGCTTTATAAATTGCACGTGAATGCAATTTTAACAAAAATTAACCTGATGAGTGAATCTTTAAAATGATTGGGACACCAATTTTCAGTTTTATCAGTCTCCCAATGATTCCAAAGTCCAAATGATTCCAAGTTTTTGAATGAGCTGCTACAAATATGGAAAGTTATTCTCCACAGATGCTGAAGAAGCATATGCCAGAAATAACTTAGTAATTATATTCAATATATGTTCTATAAAGCTATCCCCAGCAACATATTTTTTCATTCATATTCATTTTCTGCCAATGTATAGGAATCACTTTGTTTTCAATGCTGGAATAAAAAAGAAATTAATAAATTAATACTAATTTTCATTTCTTTACTTTACTTTTTTTTTTAATTTTTATAATTCTAAGCTTTGCTGATTGATAAATATTCTGTTTGGGGGAAAAAAAGTTTTTTTTTTCAAAAACATTGAAGTGTTTTCCATAACATGGATGCAAAAGGTATTAAAAAAAAAATTGTGGTGGTCCTAATCGCTTGCTTATAATGAACATTGAAAGCTTGTCATGCATGGGTGATTTAATTTTTTTTTCTATCAAGATCTTCTTTATATCCTTTCAGATATTAACAAACATTTATCCAGTGTAATCTTTTTACTGTTATTTTATCAATTGCCATTGAAATTGGTTTTAAAAGCCTTTAAAGATCTATAGGGTACAAAGTCCGGGAGCTGGACTCGGCGGATTTTTGAGGATTCCAGATTTTAGATCATTAATTTAAATCATTATTTCATATGTTGGAATTAAAAATCTTAAGTAGTATTTATGAAATAAATAAGCATTTATGACCTCAAAGTAATCAAAATTTACCAAAAAAAAAAAAAAAAATCTGACTATTTATTTTCTTGCTGTGTTAAATATTCTTTCTGTATAAGTTGTCAGATTTTGTATGCTAATACTTTTTCTTTAATTTTATAGACAGACATAATTTCTTCTACAGTATGAAATTCAAATCCTGCAATTACTGTGTTGAAAATTTCCATTAAATTATCTAGTGATTTTTTTTTTTTTTTTTTTTTTTTTTTTTTTGTGTGTTCTCAACAACAACTCACTTTCTTCACTAATGATAGTGATATTTTCTGAACTGTACTACAGATTTCACCATTTGATTATTGGGGCATTGTAATCATAATGGAGTACTTCTGTTTTTATAATCTTCATTTATTAACACATTTCTTCACAAGTACTATTAATTGGAAATTCACTTTTTTTAATCATAAACAATTTCTAGTAATAAGAATAGTTTATAGATGGCAAACACACTCATCCCATAGCACTTAATGGCCAATACATCATCACATGCCAATAAGCCTGGCAGGGGTATAATGGAAAAGGTATTAACTGTAATTCAAGTATTGAAACAAAAAATCAGTTGTTCTTAATTCAGACAGCACTAAATGGCCTATTTAATTTGCCCTATGAATATCATTTATAAAATATATGTTTAGAAGTTTCTGTTACATTTCTCCTTGTCGACACACACTTCGCAATGCAGTTAGCTTAAGTCTAATTGTTGTCAAGCATATGTCAGCATAAAATATTACCATCCTGTTTGGTATTCAACAACTAATATTAAAAAAAAATATTGTCTTAGATGTCTCTGTGTGAGTCATTTCTGAAGCTGCTGTGAGGTGATAGTCATGTAATGATAAATTATTTTCCAGTTTGCCGTAAGGGTTATATGATATTCAATAGGCATGACATTATTAGCAATGATAGAATGTTTTGGCTTGAGATGATTGCAGAGAAATGAGGCAACTACAGACTCAAGTTATTGATCATGCAAAATTCTGCTAATAAATGATTGCATTTGTATAACAAGGATGTGCTTTATTTATGCCAAAGTGAAATTAAGAAAAAGGACCCTCCACTTGTTTTATTATTAAAAATGCCTAATGTGCATGCATGAGGCATTCAAAAGTCGTTAATTCGGACACCCATAATCCGGACCTCAAAGCTACAAAATTTCTGCGCATGCGTCGCGTCCACGCATGCGCACAGGCGTTTACGAGAGCGCATAAGACCCTTACAGCTGCGAATATGTTTGTGCGCATGCGCGTTTAACGTGTAACGGAGTTATACGCTAAGCTAAAGTTATCTAATTCAGTTAATGTTGCAGATTGCGTTGTTCCTTAATCTTCGAATTGGATCCGGCTTATTATTTTTTGCAGACTGTTAGAGCAATTTTATAAAAGTAAGCTTGAACTTTCGATTATGTCAAATAGAATTTTCGATATATATTTACTACAAAGCGAAAGTATGTTTTGAAATCCGAAATCTGTTTATCAATTTCACGCTGCTCTGCGGCAGAGGGGGGGGGCAGAAACGTCATTATTAGATTATGATAGATTAGAAAGATTATGTCAAATAGAATTTCCGATATATATTTACTAATATGTATCTACAAAGTATGTATCTACAAAGTATTACTAATATGTATCTACAAAGTATTTACTAATATGTATCTACAAAGTACTTTTGTATCTACAAAGCGAAAGTATGTTTTGAAATCCGAAATCTGTTTATCAATTTCACGCGGCGGATTGGAAGTTAATCTGTCAGCACTATCCTTATCTTCAGGGCAGATGTTTTTATTTTATTTGGTTTATAATTCCGTACTAAGTGTAGTATTTCATCTCGATGTACTCCGTCTTTGATATGATTTAAATCAAGTTCCTCGTCATTATAATTCGCTTCCGATAGTGAAGAAAGTGACCCAGAGGTTATTGAAAACGAAAACAATTTCGATTGACAATTAGTCGGTATTCTCAACACAGCAATTATAGGAACTTGAACAGCGGAACTTTGTAACTAAACAAGAAATTATGTCTGTTTAATAGAATTAAAGAGAAAGTGTAAAATTATGTACACATGAAAAAGAAGCAACTTACATTGAAGGAAATGTTTAATAAAGTAAACAAATAAATATTAAGCTTTTTCTTTTTGTAAATTTTGATACCCTTTAGATCATAATTGTTCTTTATTTCATAAATTACGGTTTCATATTTTTAATTTTGTAATTTCTGCATGCCATCTTACCAGATTTAAACTGATGATCTATAATCCGGAAAAATCGATAATCCGGAATCGCCGAAGTCCCGACGAGTCCGGATTAACGACTTTTGACTATTGCTCTCAAACTGTAATTCTTTTTCCCTTTACGCTCAAAATTTCTTTAAATATATATTCAGGTTATATGTTAGTTTCTGGATGTTCTGCTATCAAAGCACACGTTATTAAAAATTGCAAGTAAATAAGAAATTAATAGAGTGTGGATCCATCTTTTGCTGTCACTTGATCAGGAATATTATTCATTTATTTTTAAAATATTGCCACTGGAATTGAATGCTGTTTTTTGTGTAATAGCAACAGTCAATCCATATGTTTTGGTCAGCAATTTAATTTATCCTTAAGCTGCTTTTTAATGCTTATATCAGACAAAAAGCAGGCCAATCCAATTCTTAATAAGCCATAGCCGCAGCTGTTAAGATGTAACGAGCAAATCATTTATCAAGTTCAGATGGGTTTTTAATGTCTAATCAATCATTAGCCTTTGCTTATAATTGAATAATCACACTGTAGGATTATATTCATAAAACTCAAATATTTAATTAGTGTTTAATATGACATCATCTCAGTAATACATCATATTCATTTTAAACTATCCATGTTGTATCAAACCAATTAAGGTAATGAATCATTTTGTTTCTTTTTGTTAAAATTTTGTTGCCAGGTTTCTAACATAATCCCTCTTCCTTTTGGGAGACTCAAAACTCAGGTGACGTTGTAGAGGTCAAGTCTCTCTGGTATCTTGAAAACATGACCAGATCTAGGTCTGGATCAGGCAGCATTTGGAATCCTCTCATCACTTCTAAGCTGCAAGTTCTATACTGCTGTCAGACATATCACAACACTTTTCTTATTTTGTAAAAAATGATCTCAAGAATTATTATACTGCAATTCTAAAGGAAAAATTCTGTATGTTGGTCTCATTGCAGCACCCATTTATGTCTTGAGTTTAACGGTTGCACTTGCCATCCTCGTTTAAATTGTATAATTTTGCAAGAAGCTAGTATAACTGTTTCTTAAAGTCTTCTTCTATAAGAACAGGATCACCTGATTCGGCAATTCTGTACTGATGCTTCCAATTTTGCTTCTGAATTAACTGGCTAAAATTCAGCAAAAATGTTCATAGTGAATAGTCTCAAATGTTCCCATTAGCTGCATGCTTACACTTGTTTTAATTACTTTTAAACTTTCAATTACAAAGTAAATGATAAGAACTAATTCATACTTTCCATCAGAAAGCATAGGTAAATTATCTTGAAATTGCTTAATGGCTATTTTCTTTTTAGATTTATTTTTAATAGATTCCCTTTTAGGACAAATTAAAAAAAATATATATTTCTATTATATTGCATACACCTATTCTAAAATTCTAAAAGTTAAAAAAAAAAAAAAAAAAATCCTATTCTAAAAGTTGTAAAAGTATGGCCTAATTTTAAACAAGAAAAGCAAGTTTCTTTCTTCAAAAGTTAATTGTTTTGCTGTAAAACAGGCTTGGTTGGTATGCTTCTTGTCACAACATAAACAGTTAAAATTTTGCTTCCCTTGATATTCTTGATTTGTTGTGCCTACCAAGGCATAAGGAACATTGGGAGTCTTTTCTGCAAAATATAAGAATATTGTGTTTAGTCTCAAATCCAAAATGGGCAAGAACAAACATTTCCCCTCCTTTCATTACATTAAGTAAAAAATACAGTCGAATCCGGTTAATTGGACCACTGGATAATCGGACCAGCCGCTTTTCCGGACTAAATCCTAAAGAACCAAAACAAATCCTATGTACATAAGCCTAATATTATTTGGACCAAAATTCCATTGAATTGGACCACAAAATCTGAGAGTGAATGAGAAACAGAAGCCAGAAGTCGGCCACGTACAGCAGATGTATAGGTGGTCTGCGACATATGGGAGAATCTGTAGTTGCGGCTCCCCAGAAAAATATTTGATCAAAGGTCAGGAATTCATTAAAGTGGATGACAAAAGTAAAACCGTTGGGAGGCGAACATGCACACCATTTTCTTTGACCTGCGCCTCTAAGTTTCGAGGAAATGAACAATAGAATGTCCAGCTCCACCTAAAAGGACTTCCCTCCTGTCATCAAGTTTACATTAGAAAATGATCATTTCATCACCTTTTGGGATGATTTTAGTGCCAAAGCTTTGAATGGCAATCATTTTATCTCCCTCTTGACCTCAACATCTTCAACCTGAAACACCAAGGTTTCATCAGTCAGTGAACTGTGCACATGTCTTACTTCCCTGCCAAAGTGCCACAACGTGACTTGACGTTAGCTGAAAAAAATTGGTTTTCTGGATAAGATCAAGCAACAACCACGAAACACTAGTCAGCGTTGGCTGGTGGAAATAACCGGATTGGCAAAGACTACTTGTCTCGATGGTAAGATACTCGATGATACTTGAAACTTTCTCTTGACACCTGGCCTATCTTTTGAATTTTGAATTTATCATGTAACTGCTTTCGGGATCAAAAGTACTTGGACATCTAGCATTTCTTTCAAAAGTTAATCATCTGTTTTCTTTATGCACATACCGCTTGCTGTTCTTAGATTCTTTGGTTGCATTTTTAATTGTGTGAAGTCCATCTTTAGTATGTATCAGTTGCTAATTTGCCGAATGTTATGCCCACCAAAATAAATAAACTGTCATGTGATGAATAAATCATTTTTTAAGATCAACTCTAGCAGATAGGTTCTTTAACATCTAAGGGATGATTATCATCTGATCAGCATCATTTAAATAATAACACTGATAGGTGTACAGAACACAAACATTTAATTAATCCATAATGTCATACTTGTTTTCAACACTAAATTTCTTTAAATTGTGCCATGTGGACAGGAGGATGATTGTATTGAGATATTCTCTGTGTTCATAATTTTTTTCACAAAGATAAGGGTGAACTAAGTGCAAACCATGAAAAATACTGCATACTATTATGCTTTTATTACCAAACATTGAGGTATGTATGGGTACTTTTGACAATGTTAGAATAATATATTGATATCAGTTATGGGTACTTCTTTATCTTTATAGGTCCTATCCTAATGATATCATGATTATCATTTGGTTTTGTGTACTTTCTCACTTGCAGTTTCTAGCTGCTGTATTTCCATATTTTCTTTTTATATGGCATCAAAAACACTTTTTTTGTCCCAAGGTCTTTCACCATAGGAATTCTGCAAGATAGGACTCAAGATGATGATGAACTTGTCTTGAACTATGTCGTGTTGCTTTTTATTTTGCCCCTTAACAGAGCTCCACTGTGTTTCAGTATCTTATTTATGAGCAACCATTTTCTGGATCCACAAAATGAATTGATGATTCACAGTGCAGTGAGTGTACCCTGCCTTTCCCAGTTCATTTATTTTGTACCCTTGCAGACAGTCTGAATAAATCTTCAGTCTCTCATGAATAGATCCACGATTTTTGCCATGATTGTTATTGTCTCTCTGTTTGGAAACTGAGCAAGAAACTATTTACCAGTTTCTCAGTATACTTGTCAAATATCTACTGTTACGAGAAAACCTGCTCACATTATTCTTGCATTTGATGACAAACTTTCATCTGTTTCCTCAATTTTTCCCATGCCATGCATTCATTCACTTCACTGTCAAACTAAATGTAAAGAGCCTATATCTCTCATAAAATTATTTTAATCAATAGGTGTATTTTCTCAAAGGCCGGCCTAGATCTCGCAACACTTAATCAATGTCTTTTTATCTTCCCAACAGTAAATAAACCACAGCACTGTTACGAATGGTAATCTGGAGCCAACAAACAGATTGTCAGAATGTTTGCTTTTCTTTCGCTCGAAATATTTCTTGCTGCATTTCCAAATGGTTCACCAATATGTAGTTTCATTTCATGCCCATTTTTGCATCATCAAATGTAATGTAAAATGCTTCTTTGTTAGAAAAATGATATTGCAGCTTCCTAAGTTGTCAATAAATCAAAAACAGTTAAAAAAATTTTGAAGAAGGAAAATATGATAATATGCATCATACTTACAGCTCTTCTTGTGATATGTGAACTAGTTAGATTATTCTGAATATGGTAAAGCACTTAAGGGATATTTTCCTAAGTGGTGCCTTTGTATATGACTTTCTAAGAGAAACTGGCTTGTATTCATATTACACATGGAAAAAACCATGAAAACCAGCCGTATATTGTAGAGCCAGGCTGTTTACATGAATTTGAACCCAGAACGAACTGCCAGTATTCTGCAATGTTTAATTCCTCAGCCACTGGTGATGTCGAGTGAACTTGATAAATGATTGATTTTAGGACTGCTGTTGGTTATCGCTGTTTTTGGTGGTGTTTAAGAAACAGTAGCTGAATATAATAAATCATCATCTGTCAAAAATTATTTCAAAATTACTAGTGTGCTATCCTAATATAAGTAACACAGCAATCAGTTACTGAGCCATCACTAATATTAGCCTGACAACTACAATCCTGTTTGCATGATATAGGCATTAATTGTTAATATCCAAACTGGTGTTCATGAGGCTCAGGATAATAGAATATTCAAGATGAGTTGAATATTCTACTTTCCTGTGCCTCAGGAACACTAGTTTGGATCTTCATCTAACAAGTCATCTTGATTTAAGCAGACATAAGCGTTTGCAGGAGAAGCAGATCTTGAATCATGGATTTAGTTTGTCAACAAGATAGTATAAGGTAAAAGTGACTCAGTATGGAGTGTAACGTCTGCAAACTTCTGCTCTTGAAATTATATAGAGAGACAGCCTTTCAATCAGCCATTGATATCATCCAATTAAATATCATAGAAATAAATGTTCTAATTCATATGTCCTTAGTTATTATATATTACTGGGAAAAGTCCCTTATTTTATTTTTATGAGCTGTTTTATTAGTTTTTACAGTCTGATATTTTTTATTTAGCTAATGAAGCTTATATTAGACCTTTGCCATCTGAATTTGGAGAGCCACAACCTGCAAAAATGGCTAAATATTCCTGTGACTTGTGCAGTGTAATTGTCAATTCAGAAATTCAACTTCAGCAGGTAATTTTTTTAACTATATTTTATCACTTAAATTTATTTAATTTATTATTATCTTGTTTCATTATTTTACCTTTGTTTATTTTATAGACAAAGATCTTTTATCCTCCCCCCCCCCCAAAAAAAAAAAAAAAAAAAAAAAAAAAAACACCTACATCAGAACTAGTTTTAGAGTAATTCCTGGTTTTAGACCTCAAAGTCAAAATTTTTGTATGCCGTAAAAATGTAACATTCACTGTATAAATGGTAAAAACTTATTTCATATGTTTAAAGATTTAAATTTCGGATTTTGAGGGAAAAAGACATATGTTCATCGTGACGCTTTGATTTAATGATCTTTACATTTTTCTAAAAAGGCTGAATATTTATTACCAAATTGTTAGCTGTGAAGTAATTTATAAATATAACTAAAAGATAATTACAGTATTGTAAAAATTAAAATTGGGCAAGAAAGCAATCTTAGATGGAGCTTCCCCCCCCCCAATTTCACCTTTTGCTTCTTGTGCCATTTCACTATATTTTGAGGTGTTGTTAGGATTTTATGAGTTTTATTGGAAATTTATGCTAATCTAAGGTTGCTTTTTTATCTAATTTTAATTGATTAATGTTTTTGTTTTTTTTTTAGAATAAAAAATTTTACTGTCACTTAATTACTAATTACAGTTTGTAGCATGGCATTATAGTATGGCCTCGTCACAATATGGCAATATGGAAAGCATGCCATTGTTCTTGTATGATGAATTCGTGGCTAAAATAAACTTTTATATAAAAGTTTCAATATGGCTAATTTTCCCTGCTTTGTTTCAGATTAAAAGAAGTGATTTGTAACTGCAGTAATTGCACATTTGAAATTGCAGTAGTTCTTTGTCTCCCACACCAAAAGTATTGTATCTGATAAAAATACTGTCAAATAACCTCTTTAAAATCAAGTTAATTTTCAATTCATGTTGACTATATTTTAGAAAAAGTCCCTATAAAAAATCTTGATCTCATTAAAACTCAATAAACAGTCATTAACTATCATAAAATATGATTAGTTTATAGACAAAGATTACTTTTTGATTATCTCTGTAATCTTTCTGTCTATATTTATTACAGTGCATCTGAGAAATTGTCATATCCCTATAGAGCAGCATTTCTTAATTGGTGGTATACACACACAAAAATAAAAGTATTATTAACTTTTAAAATCAAAAATTAAATAGCTCAACATCCTGTTTAACTTTTTTCTCTAACACTGGTAAGACCACATAGATGCTCATAGACTAGCAAAATAATTACTTTTTATTTTCGCAAATATGCTTTTAGACATAGACATAACAAAATTTGTCATAAATGATGTTTTTAAAAACATGATTAGAAATGGATGTTGTATTTAACAGGGACTAAAAATAAATTCCTATGAAAAGATAATACATAGACTCCAACTTCTACGGAAATTCATGATAAACTACGAGCTACAAAAAGTATGAAAAAAAAACTACGGATTTTACAGAAACAGAGTAGGAGAACCAGTATGCAAAACAAAACCAACTAATTCGTCCAGTGATTTGCTGAATACTTGTGTCATCATATATCACATGTTGAGTGCATTGCTGGTTTTGAAGAATAGCCAATCGTAGATCAGTAACTCCAACCGTTAATGACTAGTCGATAGTCCCCTCCCCTATAACATCTGGTCTCCCAGGTTCGTTGCTACTGCGTGATTAGCTTGCCTTCGGCTCCATTGCTTTTGTATTGCGGCGAGAGCTTAGTGTGTGCCTTGTGAACTGGGATTCAGGTGGAAGTTTTTTAATAATGCTACCTCGAATGAAAAAGCCAAAAGTATCAAAACAGAAATTTAAAGATTCATATTCTTCAGAATCTCCATGCATTAATTAAAGCATCCGTAATTTATGTGAATCACGCACACTGCGGTGTATGCAACAAAGACTTCTCAGTTGCACATGGCAAAAAAGATAACTGTAAATGGCATGTTTTTTCTCAAAATATATAGAACTTGCCACTGTAAAATCTAAAGAAATAACGAATTTCTTAATAAAAGATGACAAAACAGGTCCTATAGAAGCCGAATGCTATTTTGTTCGATTTTTAATTGAACACAGTCTACCGCTTTCTGTTTCGGATCATTCCAAAGAGCTTTTCAAAGCAACGTTTCCGGATTCTGCCATAGCAAAAAAATTTAGCTGTGGTCATACCAAAACTGCCGCTATTGTGAAAATGCTTGCAGAAAGTACTGTTGCCGATATTATAAAATCAGTGTGCAATACATCATTTTCTCTAAGTACTGATGTATCAAGTAGATGATTTGAAAGAAATTGTAGATTTGCGTATTGATATAGCATGGGAAGAAATTGCCAAATTAAAAAATATGAATGGTGTATTAAATACAAAGTATTGCCTACTGTAATGCTTGCTTTCTTAATAATACCTCATTCAAATGCAGCTTGCGAAAGAATTTTTTCTATTGTTAAAAAAAATTGGACGGAATTTCGACCAAATTTAGGTCCTAAAACTCTCAAAGCAGTTTTGATTAAAAAAATAAGTATGCAGGCAAATGAAGAACTGTGTTATAAAATAACATTCTCAAAATCAGATCTTAAGCATGCTACATATAAATCTTTGCATTCGTAAATTAAAAGTATATTTTTTAATACTAATATGTATTACTCTTGGTTATTTAAATTTTATTTCCTTGCAAAAATCAAATCCAGAATAAAGATATATGATGTATGGATTCTGGTTTTTTCTGATTAGTAGTGATTTAAAATACTTTTTTCCCTCATATAATAGATTTAGTGATATACATGTGTGAGGAATTAAATGAAAATTTCTAATTAAATGTGCATATACTTTACAAGTACATATAATTTTTAATTATTCAGTTTTATATATATATGGATTTTAAATGTAACAAAAATAATTGCAATTATTAATTAAAAATTAATGAATGGTTAATTACAACCACACGATGACTACTGAAAAGTTCTGCTGCAGGTCTATGGATAATAGTGTCTCATTTCAAGAATTGATTCATTTATTAGCATGTCAACCAGGGTTGCCCTGATGTCAGCATTTTATGTCGCCACCACTTCCGTGCTCATATTGCTAATTTTCAATTAGAATAATTTTTTGACCTCGATTTGCTTCTCTAACAGCAGGTATTTTGTCTTCTTGTTGCTTTATATTCCTTACTTTTCTATGCTAATCGAGAATAAAGAACTCGGTAGTATATTTAGATATTTGTGAAAAAATAATAGAAAACTTCAATTTTCAAAATGGAAAAAGGCCTAGGATTGACCAAGTGGAAAAGTGATGATTCACAGGTGATGGATTCAGAACAATCTACTAGCACTAAGAATACTAAAAAGAAAAGAATAATTGTTTACAGAAAATGTAATAAAAGGTATTAATCATTTGGGTTTACTTGGAATGGAGAGGAATGGGACCCTCAACCTCAATGTGTTGTTTGTGGTGAACTTTTATCCAATCAAAGTATGAAACTGTCATTTCTTAAAAGACATCTTGAATCTAAGCATGCAAATTTAAATGATAAATCTGAAGAATATTTTAAGTGGAAATTATCGGAGTTCAAAAATAGTAAACAAGTAACAAAAGGTTCTGTTACTTCAAGTGAAAAAGCTTTGGAAGCTACCTAAACCTAAGAATGCCCAGGCCTGGGCAGGCTTACACTACAGGAGAAATTATATTGCCAGTGGTTAGGGGAGCCACCTGAAAAACCAAAGGGCCTGAGTTCTAATCCCGGAGAAGGCATGGTTGTAATTATCCATCCATTCATAGGAGGCAAAGATCACCCACCTATTAGGTGCCTCCATAATAAAGTGACCATCACTTCTGGCTTTAGTAGTGGCCAAGCCGAAGTCGGCTGAGAGCCCGCCATTGTGCTGGGAGGGGGACATTCCGAAGTAATGTGGTTATACGGAGGCAAAGTTTTAAATAATCCTTTTGAAATTTGATCAGAAATGCAAATTTTCCTCTGTGGTTCAAAATTTGAATTGCAAAAATGTTTATTTAGTGAATTATGGTTGGCTCGTTTAGCATATTTAGCTGATATTTTTGGAAAGTTAAATGAATTAAATTTAGGATTACAAGGACAAAGTGCTAATTTGTTACCATTAGAGATAAAATAGATGCAATGATAAAAAAACTTGAGCTATTAATCAAAGAATTGGATAGTAATATTTTAAGCTTTTTACCAGTTTTAGAAAGAAGAATTAGCATAATAAAAGAAGAATTAGCATCCGACATAAATCGTTGTGTTTGATTGATAGATAATTTTTAAATGTATTTTCCCGAGGATTATGAAAAAGAAAATTAGAACTTTGTTTTGTTCAAATGTACCTGAAATTTTATCTCGTGAAGAAAAAAAAAAAAACAGTTGATAAAAATTTGCTGTGATCAAACTCTAATTGAAGATTTAAAAAATAACACACTTGTTGACTTTTGACTGAACCATGGGAAAAGAATTTAAAGGCAATTCAAATAAAGCTATTAAATTTTATAGCCTTTTTGCACAACCTGTTTGTGTAAGCAAGGATTTTCTTCCATGTAATATTTGAAGAATAAATGCAGAACAAAATTAAAAGTGGATCCTAATTTCTCGTTAAAATTAAGTGAAATAATAAGTTTTTCAATTTTTGTTTAGATGGTACACGTTAGTAAAAAGTTTGAAAACTCATCTGGTTTGTCCATAGATTCTTTGCTATCTCATATTGGATTCTCAAGTTTATAATTAATGCCATTAAGTCCTTGTCACATTTTTTAGTATTTCAGATGCGATCAAGCTGATGGTCTTTTGTATTATATATTCCTGTTAACTGTTTTGTTGTGATTTGAGAACATAACATTTGACTTTGAATAATATAGTTGATATCTGGAAGACTTCATTTCATCTTGTTCTTGAAGTTCCTCTGCTTACAATGTATTTTTTCATATTGAGTAAAGGCAGGTGAAAATGAATCAGTTACTGCCCCTTTTAAAGATGGAACTGTGAGTGCTTCATTTGCAGAAAATATACAGAAATCAGGAATTACGGACGTCACTAATTTTTCTGTTTGCTTTGGTGAAAAGTGTAATGTGAAATTAAATGTTTGAAAATAAATTTCTGTGTAGGTAAAACCATGTTAAACTCAAAAATAAATGTTTTACGTAAACTAGTCCCTTCATTAAATAAGAAAATTGATTATCCAAACTTGTACTGATCTTACTTAAATCATATAATTGATGCTATATTGTATGCCTGTATGTATGTGTGTTTGTCTTACGTATGAAGTAAAATAATTGTTTTACTTTTGTACTTGGTAGCATTTAACAAGCAAAAAGCATCAAGCAAAGGTAGAAGGAAAACCACTTACTAGAAAGAAGAACAAACGCAAGCAGGTAATTACAAAATAAAAAAAAAAAAAATTAGTAAGAGATAAATGAATTATTGGTTGTTAAATACATGAACACAAAAAAGTTTTATGGTACTTAGATTTAAAATGAATTAAATTCAGCATATTCTTTTAGTTTATACTTTAAATGCGTCTCATTTGATGCTGCTGCTTCATAAAGCAAATACTGATTATTAGTGTCAGACATTTGTAAAACCAAGAAATCAAGACTATTAAAAAGATTTATTCACCAGCTTTATATATTTGTTTCATAAAAAGTGTTTAAAACCAAGAGGAATTTAATAAAAGTCATGTTTTAAAACCCATTTGTATTATTTAACCCTCAGCTAGTACGCCAGATCGTTTTTCGAGCTTCTGCTTCGTGTTTGAAACTATTTAATCTTATACATGGCTTTAATAAGGTGATTCGTCATAGTAAAAATGATATAAGAAAAATAATAACAGGGGGGGGGGAAATCAGTAAAGATGGAAATTATGAATTTTTAATTAATTCAAAAAAATGGGATGCATTGGAAGTGTAATTTAAAAAGTTATATATTGTATTCTGTATTATTTTCTATATGAAAATTAAAAGATCATATATCAAATTTACGAATGATAAATATTTTTTAAAGAAAAGTTCAGTAAGTAATAAATCTTCACAAATGAAAAAATTAAAAACATTTTGCTACTTTAATCCACTTCAGATTGTTCCTGTTCACTGCAGCAGGGTTTGCAAAGTTGTACTGTCTTGCCCAGATGATTTTTGCAGGTAAACTTAGAATACTCAGAACATTTTATGGTAGTGTAATTATTCTTTATTCTACCGCGCTCAGCGCAGAGTCCTTTGATCTTTTTTGCAAGTGGTTCCTCGTCCCTTTCGGCCGTCTTGTCAGCTTCTGTTGTTACCAGCCTTCTAATAATAGCTTTGGAATGTGACAGGAGAAATGACATTTTCAGACTATTCTGAAGATGTGGTTTCATCAAAGATGTAGCTAGATTTTTCAAAAAAGTATCTTCTAAACTTGATGGTTGCATCAGGTCCCTTTCGGCGATCTTGTCCACTTCTGTTGTTACCAGCCTTCTAATAATAGTTTTGGAATGCGACAGGAGAAATGGCATTTTCAGACTATTCTGAAGATATTTCATCAAAGATGTAGCTAGATTTTTCAAAAAATATCTTCTAAACTTGATGGTTGCATCAGGTTTGGCGAAGTTTAAGAGCACTTGCGCAACGTATGCCAGCAACGTTTAGCCAGTGCAAAAAATATTGCCATTGTCCACTTCTTGGTTTTTCGGACGACAGTGAAATTACTACAAAGTTGGTCTACAGTGTCAACTCCACCTTTACATTTGTTATAATCCAGGATTATGTGAGGTTTATTCGCTTCCTGGCCAATTTTGTCATCATCTTGTAAAGTATTGAGCAGTATTACACACTTATTTTTTTTCGTTGCATATGAAACAATTGTCATATCCTTTTGAAAACCAAACAGTGAACTCCCGACTTCTCTTGTTTTTGATGGCTGGAATTCATTTGGAATTTCTTTTTATTTTTCCAGCTTGCCCACAAGTGTTATTATCTTTGGTAAGAAGATATTGTATACCAATTATCTGTCGTCAGGTTATGGTTGGAACCTTCGCACGCACCAATTAGCCTTTTGTCAATGTCAGTACTTGAATTAGAAGCCTCGTAAGGTTCTGGGGATTGATTGCCACAATAAATTTCAAGCTTCAATGTATAAAATGTTCGTGAGTCAACAACTGCAAAAATTTTCAGACCGTACTTTGCAGCCTTGTTGGGGATGAATTGAATAAAAGAGCGTCTCCCATGAATGGGTTCTAACTTCTCGTCGATTGCGAGTTCGTCATCTGGTGTATAAAAGTTCTGATAGATTCAAAAAATTCTCTTAGTGCGGCAAGCTTATGAGTTTTTCTTCTCACATACCTTGTGCCTTTATCGTCAAATCTAATAGGTTTCTGAATCTCTTGAGACCCATGACCCCTTGCAAAATTTCAATTCCAGTACTGTCTTTTGTCCATGCTTCCTTCAAATTGAGTTTTGACATTTTTTTGCACCCTAATAAGAATAAAATTCCTAAAAAGTAGTGCTCTATTAGTATCATACATGCTTCTCTTTGAGATGTTTTGGAGATAATCTGCAGTCCTGTTACATTTAAGATAAATATTTGTATATTGTACGATAGCATCAATCATATTTGTATTTATTATTTTCTGGAAAGCAGAAAGCTCATCATATATATCGGATTACGAAAAGTTTGCATTTGCACATTCCTTCAGCATTTGTGCATGCTAAAATTGTTAGTCTGACGGAATCTTTGACACGAGTTGGAGGCTTTTCTATAGAGGTTGCCACGGTATTTTAGGGTACATATTGCCAGAAAAGAGAACTTTCATCAGGGTTGTAAATTTGTTCTGAAGATGACTTTTAAGTATTATTGAGTTCAATGAATTCATCTACAAATAGTTCAGTAGCTTCAGTATTAGCTGAAGCTTTTTCACCTGAAATTCTTAATTGCCTTATTCCATGGCGATTTTTAAATTTGGTATTAGTGAAATGCCATTAATATTTGACCTGCAATGGAACGCCCTTTTTCTCTGACCCATTCAGTCATCACTTTGTCATGACATTCACTTTTAGCGTAACAAATTAATTTTCTGTTATTCATTGCGAGTATGGTGTTGAAATCCACAAAAAATTCAAAAAGTTCCTTTTTCTGTTTTCTTATGTGACATACAGTTGGCTTTCCAGTTCCATACTCCTTGCATAATTTTGAGACGGATACGCCTTTATCCATTTTTTGCAGCAATTCCACTTTTTGCCTAATAGACATCGAAACATGCTTTCGCTTTGTAGATCCTGTTGCAGCTGCAGAATTAGAAACTCTTTTCGACATAATCGAATGCTGAAACTGTAATTTTCATAAAATTGCTGTAATAAAAACAGGTTACAAAAAATAATTAAGCTGGATCAAATAAAAAAGTTAAGGAATGGTGCAATCTGGTATATTGACTGAAATTCCTTGGAATCAGTAAAATATCATTTTAGCTTAGCTTAATAGCACCCACTATACATTATTTGGCTATGTGTCATGAGATTGGCAACAAAAGACAAGTTGTTCCGCTAAATTTTGTCTTTGCTTCTATCACACACCGAGACAATTAAACCTGATTGTATTAGTTTAGTTATTTATTTTATGATTGTATTAGTTTAGTTCTTTATTATACATACGTCTATTTCTTGCACATGCTTAAGGCTTATCTGAGTCCTGAATAAATAAATTCCCATATATACGAGTATAGAGTACGGCTTATCGAGGGCCGGCCGTAGATATCTTACTGCCTGATGCAGTCTCTGTGGGTTCTAAATTTTTCTACCAACCGCCTCCCTATGTTCTAAATTTTTGCTGCCCTAAATTGTGGATCCCAGTGCTTTCCCTAAAATCTAAAAATATTTTGATCCCATAGTTTTGTTGCTTGGTACTTCTCTAAATTCCAAAAATCTTGTCTTCCCTAAATTCTGCTGCTTGGTGCGGTCATATGAGCTCTGGCATTGGTTCTGGATTTTTTTGATAAAGAAATCAGTTATTCTTAATTTAAATGGCACTAATTGTAATCTTTTGGCTTATCATTAACAAAATCTATTTTTAGCATATGGAGAGAGATTTTTGTTAAATTTTTTGTCGTCAGTCAATATTTCTTCGCATTTAAATTTGTAATCATTGCCAAGCGTAATGTCAACATAAAAGGTTACCATACTCTTTGTTATTAAATTACTAATATAAAAAAATATTGTTTGGGCACTGCTGCATGAGTCATAACTCAGGTTGTCATATGTTGATAAACATGCCGTCATGAAAGCAAAATATAATAAAAATAATAATTTGACAGATTGGCCTCAGGGTATAAAATATTACTAAGTGTAAAATAAACGATTTTTCTATTTAGAATGTTTTGGTTTGAGATGGATGCCAAGCAGGTGTGAAACAACAGAGTCAAATTATTGATCACACAAATTTATTGTTTCTTTAATTACAAGGTATTTATTTAGTGAAGGGAAATTAAAAATCGGGAGGCCACATCTTTTATTTATGCAGGGAAAAAAATCAAGTGTGCAGGCGTAAAGCATTTAAAAAAAAAAGTTGTTGGCAGTTTTGAGGTTCGGATTTTAGATCATTCCGGATACTGGGCATTCGAATGACTTTGTGCTGTGTATGTTCTCTTACTTTTTGTGCTTTGGTTAGGGAGGTCTAAAAAGTGATTCAGAACTGATCTTTGATGCATTTGTACAGAAGCTGTGACAATATATGTATATGCGTGCTCCAGCAGAAACAGTGGAATATTTCAGCACTATAAAGTAGTAGTTCCGTCATACTTATCTTATTCATTTGATTTAAATTTAGAATATATTTTCCCATTTATTTATTGTTAGCTGGGGTACTTGGCTTCGCTAAGGGAGTTGATATAAGATTGTGTGGTAGTTACTTTAGTTGTGTATAAACTATATTTTTTAAAGCATGCATTGATTTCATCTGGTGGTGTTGACTTTGGGATAACTTGAATCGTTTGTCGAAAATCTCCTGAGAGTATGAGTCAAGCTCCTCCCATCACTTCAGAGTTTCCTCACAAGTCTTGTAATGTTCTGTCCATGGCTTTGAGGGTTTTTTTATTTATTTATTTATTTATTTTTTTTTTTTTTATGTGCCATTGTGCATTAAACTATAAAAGGTAAAATTTTCTTGTTGAAAACATAGTCTAACTATTTACAATATTTGCTTATAAGCAATATTTTTCATCTTGTTATGTGGTATATATATATGTACAATTTTTTCGAATTTCCTACTCTAGAGCAAGCTACATATAGTTGACCATGACAAAAGTAGGTGTCTTTGAAGTGTTTAAAATGCAATGCTTTAAAGTTTGCCCTTGGGTTTTGTTAATTTTAAAACCATAGGTTAATTTGATTGGAAATTGCAGTATTTTAAATTGGAATGGCAGTCTAGTAGATATCAATGGTATTCTGGAGATAAATACTGTTTGTCCTTTGTCCTTCCCAGTCATAAGTTCAGCTTCGTTGATGTTATTCAATAGCTGTTTGACGACATCCTTGTCCATTATATAGTTTTGGTGAGTTGAGATTTCTGAGTAGAATCATTGAAGATCCAATTTTCATTCAAAGGCAGTGTAATGGCATTCGTGGTACTTCTTGCAAAGAGTTTAGAAATTCTGTAGGGAAGTTAATACTTTCTTCAGCGTTTACTATTGTGTCAGTTGATTTGTATATTCTCTCTTAACCAGCAATTTTCTTTTGAATATTTAAGTTGATATCGTCGACAATATTATTTTTACTTTCCAAAATTGCCCTTTGAAATAGCCACTCCAGATTGGTATAGTTGTGAATAATGTTTGAATAAATTTGGTCAGAGTTCATTTTCACTAGTTGCTATGTTCCAGAAATCACTGTTGAGTTCAATTAGGCTAGTCTTCTGGTCAGTAGGATATGTGCCTTTGCCTATTTGTAAAAATATTTTAGCAAAATGTGCTGTTGTTTCATCTTTCGATAGTTCAACTCTTATATTTTTTGTTAGTCCCAGTATTTGTATGTGTGGTAAAGGATGTGATTATTTTTAAAGCATGCATTGATTTCATCTGGTGGTGTTGACTTTGGGATAACTTGAATCGTTTGTCGAAAATCTCCTGAGAGTATGAGTCGAGCTCCTCCCGTCACTTCAGAGTTTCGTCGCAAGTCTTGTAATGTTCTGTCCATGGCTTTGAGTGTTTTTTTTTTTTTTTTTTTTTTTTTTTTTTATGTGCCATTGTGCATTCATCCCAGAAGATAATTTTAGCTCGTTTTAGAAGTTCACCCTGTCCAGATATTCTTGAGATTTCACATACCCAGAATTGTTCTTCAGCTATATTCATCGTCTGCTGCATCCAAGTCAATCATTCTGCCGTTGTTGTTGATCCGGTCCATGACAACGTTGTAAATATTTTTATTATTGTCATTGAGGAGTGATCTGTTGTGAGCAATGCATTGAAGTAGTTCATTGATGTTGTAGCTTTTTTCTTTTGTAATTTCAAAGTTTAGCTCACTGAAAGCATCTTGTCATGGTGCTGGCATCCCAAGTTCTACTTGGTCTGGTTTTTTTGTTGCTAACTATTTATCTTCTAGGTGGATGAGTGTTTCATTGAAGATGTTGTCATGAATTCGATGGCCAGTTCTTAATGAGCTTGTTGGATTTGGTACAGTATGTCATCACTCATATTCTCTTTGAAAGAGTCCCATAGCTGTTTTGGATTCGTTGGGTTACTCGATAGAATTACGGCGAGTAAGTCTTTTATTTGTTCAGCTGAGGCTGTGAATGAGGCTTCTTGTAAATTCCTCAGTAATCTAATGTAGGAATTACTGCGGAAGTGCTTTCAGTGGTGGCAATCGAATTTTTCCATTCATGCAACAGATTCCTGGTGTTTATTGAATTTTTTCACATAGTAAAATAGGCAGATGTTAACCATTTTCCCAATTACAATGTGCTTGGTAATATTCTTTCGTTGGGTATATAGTGGAATGTTTCATTTGTTAGGTTTTACTGTTTACGTGCCTTGTCAAACCTTCTCATATAATTTCATGGGTGGCTTGTGTTGTTCGCAGTCTTTTATTATAAGATTGTGTCGCAATTCTTGATTCTGAAATTCATTCATTTTGTTGGTTTTCAGTTTCTCTGCTTCTCACAGTGCTTATTGTCTTTCATTCGGAACGTAAACGTACTTTGCGCTCTTCGACTGTTTCTTTTTTTCACTGTTCTTTTTGTTTTCACCATTTTGCTTCAGAACTGGTAAGATCACCTCCTCTTTTACATTTGGGCATTCTATAAATTAAATCAAATTTTTATTAAGAAATACACTAAGTACAATTTACACCCTTTATTTTCTATTTATATTCAGTCACTGTATCACTTTGATTACTGACACTTCACTGTTTGTTTTTATTCGCTCATTGCACTTCGCTGAAGATAAGGATAGTGCTGACAGATCAACTTCCAATTCATTGCGCGCCGCCACTTCCCCCCCCCCCAATTCCCCTGGCAGAGCAGCATGAAATTGATAAACAGATTTCGGAATGGTTAGAGAAACAAAGGATATGCCTTTATCCATTTTTTTGCAGCAATTCCATTCTTTGTTTGATGGACATCGAAACATGCTTTCGCTTTGTAGATCCTTTGGCAGCTCCAGAATCGGAAATTCTTTTTGACATAATCCAAAGTTCAAGCTTACTTTTATAAAATTGCTCTAACAGTCTGCAAAAAATAAGAAGTCGGATCCAATTCGAAGATTAAGGAACAACGCAATCTGCAACATTAACTGAAATAGATAATTAGATAATTTTAGCTTATACCGTCCGTTATACATTAAACGTGCATGCGTCAATGTGACGCATGCGCAGAAAGTTTGTAGCTTTGAGGTCCGGATTATAGGTCATGGGTGTCCGAATTAACGACTTTTGACTGTATTTATTATTTTGACAGAAAGAGGAACTGAAATATAAATAGTTTTGCTCTCCATAGCAAAGTCTTTTAAGAGCATCAAATATGATTAGTGGATTGGTTATTTTAAAAAATGATTTCAGCAATTGACAGTGTGAAATGTTGTTTCAAGTACTTTTGTGAAATCTATTTACTAAAGCTTTTGATAAATTTTCTTTGGCTGTTCAGTTTTTCATGTTACACAAAGTTAAGAGAACAAAAAATAAGTAATTTAAATATATTAATTTTATACTTTTTTTAGGCTGATGATCCTGATGCAGAAAGCAGCAATTTGGGTGAGAATAGTACCCCATCTGTGGGTGAGAATAGTGCCCCATCTGTGGGTGAGAATAGTGCCCCATCTGTGGGTGAAAATAGTGGCCCATCAGAAAGTGCAACAAATAAGGAAACCAGTGAAGCAACAAAAATTGTTATGGGAGTTAAAACATTGGCTGCATCATTTGTTCAAGGCGAAACTCTGCAGTAAAAATTCCACTTCAGAATAATCAAAGGTGGAAACATTTTTCATGTAATTACTCTTATCATATTCCCCATTTGCACATTCCTAACTCAAAAAATTTGTTTTTCACCCTTCTTGTATATTAATACAATAAACCTTGCATTGAAATAAATTTAAAGGAAAAATATTAGTGGGCAGTATAAAAAAAGACATCATTTTTTTATTATTTAATATTTACCTATTAAGAATTTTTTTTAACATTTTGAGTGATGCGATATTTTAAACTTCCAGCTGTTGTTAGTAATGTGCAAAAATGGAATGATATTTGATTTCATTTATTATACATTGCCATAGCTTGTTATTTCAAATGAATTGGAAGTCATTAAATGTGGATTTTTGAGATTGTTGAGAATTTTTAAAAGTGCTGGTAGGCAACCTCATTGTTGCTTTGAGTGTAAAATAGAATTCGTTCATATTTATTTGCATCTTTACTTTAAATCATTGCTTAAAATAATAAGCAATTTTTGTTTTGGAAAAAATTCATGCCTTTGTAAATGATAAATTTTCTTACAATGGAGATTGTATTGGTGTGTAATTATGGACAAATTATGTATCTTGTATTATAAAATGTATCATTAAGTATTAGTATAAAAAAAAAGAAAAAAAAAAAAAAGGCCTACAAATTAGCTTTCACTCCATCTTGCCCTTCTAGTGCATTTTATCACCCTTTGTCTGTGCGAGACTTCATCTGTCCAGTCCGTATCATATAGAAGTAGTAGGTAAAGAATTAAGGGGTCAAAAATACAAAGGAACAATTATAAGAGATTTTTCTGTAATGAAACTGCTATAAAGTGATTGATTGCTCTCGAAAAATTTTTTAAATCCTCATGTACATGAAATAGTTTACAATTTCTTATTACACATCTGGAGTTTCTTTCAGCATTGCTATTATGTAGCAATCTCATTTGTAACTAACTGGAAGTCATTTATGTTTGATTTAGTATTTGACACACCATTTATGATGTTTCATTTTTTTTAAAGAATCGATGTGCTAATATTTCATTCTGTTACATTTATAGTAATGTTTTGTTAATAAAAATTTTAGACAATGCTCATTTTAGTACAACATGTTTTTATCTTGGAACAGGAAACAATAAATCATTCTTAAAATTGGAATAATATGATATCATCAATAATTTCAATCTTTTTGACATTATTAAAAATGAGACACAAAAATTGGATGTTAAAAGGATGGAAAAAGTAATTGGCAATGTACTGTTAGCCATTAAAAAATATGTTTGGCTTGTCCTCCATAAATTGCAGATTGTACTTGTAAAATCTTTTAATTATGCAAGAAATCAGGAATTTTGCTTGGTGTTAATTATTATATTGTATTAAATCTCTCGACTTTTTTTTTTTTTTTTTTTTTTTTTTTTTATTGTTGTAGGTATGCAGAATTAAGGTAACTTTTAAAACACAATGTTATTTGTGTGCCCCCTTTTTTAGTGTAAAAGTTATTATGACAGATGGTGAAATTAAAAAAAAAAATTCTAATTTAGATATTTTCTATTATTTTTAAAAATTAAATAATTCAAAATATGTTGTCTTTTGAAGAGCACGAAGAAAATAACTGGCTTTGTTTATAATTTAACTAAAATTAATAAATACAGCAAATTAACTAATAATTAGGATACTAACCTTTAGGAGTATATTTAAACAGGATGGAGAGTGGGGAGGAACTATAGCGTGTGAATTATGCTGCTTAGCATTTGCAGTGCACAGTGATTTTGGAAAAATGTACATCTTTTAATGCTATCATCTTTGCCTCCAACTATTTTTCTAATTGAAATTCTTTGTATGCTGTATACTGTAACTCTGGCTTGATGCACTTTCCAAAATCTTCGTGAGATTTTACAAAGTGAATTTGCTAGCATATACTCGCATGACTTGATATACAGGGTGTCCATAATTTATTCACTGGATGAAAATATGTTTTAAATAATACAGACTAAGACATAGGGAAAAAAGACTGACTGAATTTTATTTAGCACTTTATAATAATTAAGAATTCATTAATTAATATTAAGAATCATTAGTGTCTCATAGAATATAAAGTCTGTTCTCAATTTCCCTCAGAGGTTAGCAAGGGAAAAAAGGAATTTTATTTAGCACTTCAAAGAATGTTATATCATTATATACTTAAGCATGAATACCATTAGTTTCTCATAGAAATAAGTCTGTTCTTGATTTCCCTTCAGAGGTTATTAAGCATTTGTGGAGTCACACTAGTTGTTTTGAGGTGATTTGATTTTTCAGTTCTATCCGATGAATCTCTATACGAATTTTGTCTGTAAATAAACAAGTCTGTTTCCATTCCCCAAATTTAGAAAATGAAATTCCTAGAGCTAAATATTATATCGATTTAAATTATTTCCTTTTACTTCATAAAATTACATTTCAGTTGTGTTATCCAGTGATTAAATTATGGACACATTGTACTAGCATGCTAACATATATTAGTAGTTTGCTAGCGTGACAATGCAGCTGATGATCTTTGCCGTTGGGTGATTGCACATTGCTCAAGATGCTTTTGTAAATCTTTCCATTGCATCGAAATGTTCACTTAATATTACCAAAGGTAACTAATTTTGAAGTTTTTATCATGTAAACAGTTCAGGCAATATTTGGGAGACCTCATGCAAAATTCAAGGTAATAGAACAGGAAACTAAATAAATGAGGTGTACATATTTGTTTGAACAGTATCATCATAACCAATCTTTTCTGTATCAAACTATCATATTCTAAATTATTAAAAACTAAAGTATGTGTACGTATGTTCATTGCATTGTAGAAAGATGGTTTGTACCTAGAGGCTCCAGATTTTGAACACACACAGTCTTGCACACGAACATGTGCACATTGAAGCCCAACTTTTGCATTTTTAAAAATACTTATTTTATGCTTTGTGTGAACCTAATGAATGTTTGTTAACAAATGCAACAATTAAAAGTAGTTTGTTGCCACTGCTCAAAATAACTCTAGTTTGACTCATTAAAATCATATTCTTTCTTGTAATAACTGTATGGTCAGCCTATAAATGACTAGTTTTTCATAAAATATCTCTTCTAATTCAGAATTGGGGAGATTAAAATAGATGGCTGTTTTTGATATGAAAAAACCATTACATAGAAAAGTTATGAATCTATACCTTCTTTGTATGTTTAATTAGTCCTTTGGTTCCCCTAAAAGATAGTCAGTAAAAAAGTTCATTTACGTTTCTCATGGTTAACATATTTGTAAAGATTAATACAAACAAAATTGTTATTGAATTTTTTAATAATTGTAAAAATATGGTAAGTATACTATAATACCCTTAGGACTGTATGTCTTGATTTATCTTTGATGATATTGTAGAAAACAGGTCTTACCTTTCAGGCAGAGTCGAACATTGCAAACTGCACATTTTGTGTGATAGAGTTAATCTTTGTACTATATAAACCACATCACACAGATCTACCACATACTGGCACATACATTTGTCTTCACCTTTTCTTTCATGTTTTTGCAGTGTTGTCAATCCTCTTGCAGTAGAAATTCAATTTTTCAATTAACTTTCACTCCTTGTAGAGGATAAGATTTACAAATTTGAAATTGTCAGGTCAACAAAATGCCAAAATATACAAAGCTACCAACATTGAGAAAATAATTACTAGCCATTCCACAAATTGTATGGAAATTTTATTTGCACAAAAAGCAAGGGTATGATTCTCTGTAGGTGGTACCACACTAAAATGTAAATATTGATAAAACGCATTTTATACTGAAATTTCCACTAAATGCCAAGAGATAGCATCCTATGCTATCTATTTATGTATATGATTGTGGAAGAAAACCTGGTTTACATTCTATAGAATTTTGAGTAGGTGGTTTCAGTGTTAGACTACTGGGAGTGAAATTATTTCCAATAATTTCTAATTCTTAATTAGTATTTCTCATCACTCCATTGTTTAGTTCAGTGAATTTTCCTGAACCTGTATCCTAAATTTTCATAAAGAGCATGCTGTTGAACACTAAATTTTTAAGTCTTGATAATGAATGAAAACTAAAAATTACACATATTCAGAAGTTGCCTACTTAATGTATTTTTAAATATTACATGACATACAAAATAACGAAATGCACATGATAAAAATTTTTAATTTACCAGATTTGAAGTCTGAAGTTGAAATTTTTTCAATTAAGGTTTGCAAACTGTTTATATCCTAGAGTCATAATTATAATTCACTTTTGCTTCATTTATGCAGATTTTAGTACAGTATATTTCCAAGTATAATCAGTAAATATACTTTATTAATTAATTTTTATGCGCGAATTGAAAGTTGAACAGTGTTATAGTTTAATGCTGATATTAGCAAAATCAGCAATTCAATCCTTTAGATTTCACTTCTGTTATAAATACTGCTGGTTAGGAATTTATGTAAAAGCTATTTCAATTTCAAGAAAAATAGACAACACCCTATTCAAATGATTAACAGAGCTCATCTAATTAATATGTTAACATTTAATGATAATAAAATTTTGGGAAAATTTCAGTTAGAAAATTTCTGTATTTGCACTTATTAGAATCAAGCTTTTTGCATATTTCCTTGAACATACATTAGTCTCACAATATAGGTAACCGATTTCACACTTTTTTTAATGCACATTTTATTTAGGAGTTTTTTTTTTTTTTTTTTTTTTCCTTTTTTGAGTTTTGATTATGCTGGATGGAAAGAAATTGAGAAATTGCTGTTCTTTTACATGTCTTCATATGATTGCAAGTTATAAAACCATTTTAAGCATTAAAAATATCTATGCTACATTGTGACTATTTTCTGCTGTTAGTTAAATTAATCAATTTTATGTATTATTCTATCTATTCATCTGACTGATCAAGGCAGCTTTTGTTTTATGAAGGCATGTTTCTAATTTATCAATCAATTTAATATTTTATTATCACATCATCATAAAGTTTGCAGACATTTTTATTTGCTTATTTTACTAAAGATCTACTCTTTTATAGTATATACTTGTATAATAAAAGCTCTATTCTAAAATTACAAACAAAATTTAATTTCTAAAATTAAAAGTGTGCAATTCTATACAATACTGTAAGGATTGGAAATAAAAAATGAATAAATAAGGAAACAGATTAGTAATGAATAATTAAATAAATAATAAAAAATAAATGAAACTGAGTTAAATTAAAATAATTATTAATAATAATAAAGTTGAAATAATAAAATAAAAACTGAAAAAATTAAGTGATTAAATAAATGAAAACAGATGTTATAGAAGATAAAAGATAGTTTTATTTCTTTTTCAAATGGCCAAATACTTACCTTAGCTGTCTCATCATCGAGAATATTGGATAAGTGTACCACTAGGGGTGGTCTGATGTTACATTCACGAGACTATCAAAGAACACAGAAATAACAAAAACTTACACAGGACTCAAAAATCCTTATCCTGCAACTCAGACTAACAGTCTAGGTGAACAATAAAACAAAAGGAAAATGTCTTTACTAGCATCCTTCACACTGAGGCTTTTAATCTGTTGAAAAACATTCTGACCAAATGTACATAGCCCATAAAAATTCCTTATCCTGATGAGGTCACATTTTGACAAGATTTTCTTCCTCAGCTAAAGTTGTCTCCATACACACTTAGCTGTTTTTAGAGAAATTGAGTCGTTCATTACTAATTGTTCAAAATGCATCATTACTATTATTGTAATTCGTTTGTATAGTAGGCACTGCCTAATGTGATCATGTTTGTTCACTGCTAGATTTTGCCATCCCTTAATTTTGTTGCTTGGTGTTTCTCTAAATTCTGAAATTTTACTGGTTGGTGCGACTGTACCAGCTTTGGCACCGGTCCTTGATTTATTTGAATAACAAATCAATTATTCTCAATTCAAACAGCATCAGATGTTAACGGGCGGAGGGGAATTTTTCCAAATAGGGGAAAAAATATGTTAATTTTTCTTCTGGTCAACATAAATGGTTACCGTGCCCTTTGGTATTCAATTGCTAGTGTTTTAAAAAAAATTGTGTAGACATCGCTGGAGTAATTTCTCACGCTGTTGATAGTTATGTGATGATGAAAGCAAAAAATCTGATGTGGATTACCACAC